AAATCGGCAACCTGAGAAGCAAACAGTAGTGGTACTAAGTCGCACCATGATTTCAATCCCTTTTTGGTTGGGATGTTTATCAACCGATATCAGAACTACATATAAACTGGGTTTGAACACCCATAAACGGGTGTGTTAAGAATTAGTTGGTAAATGGGAGATTTATATTTCAGTCAACCTTAAAATTTAAGGAGTCTTTGATTTGCTCAGACTTTGAGATATAAATCCGACCTCTCGAATCAAAGGCATCTCCATCTATTCTTATTTTCCTGTAATTCGCGAAAGAGTCCGTGCGGATCTAAAAATAGGCCAGTGTTCATCAACGTGTGTCTCCCAGTTCGTCGAGACTAAATCTAATTATGTGACGAGAAAATCAGAATAATGCTTGCCCAAGACATGAAAAGAAGATGCGCTAACCTGTTTTTAGAAAAATCTGCAAAGTTAAATAAGATATCTTTCACTCTAATGTTTATTAGCTTCTGTCGCTTAGAAGAGTTTTCTCTTTTATTTGTTAAAGTTTAGTCAAAAGGTTCTTTCATCTCTCTGACGTTATACTAAGCAGACATTTAGTATTTTCAATTTAAAAATTGATAGCTTAACTCTTAAAAAGGTGAGCCCAATGTTATTCGTATTTCCAGTACAATTCATCCTTCCTTAAAATGACTTAGAACTTTTAACTAACAAAGAGCTCACATATTTACTTGTTATCAATGTGCTTGAAGTTTTGACTTGTTTGAGCTCTCGGCTGAATGTGGAAGCCCTAGGTTTTTAAATAAATTTTCGTTTTCTCTTGACTGCTTTGCTCCACTTTCCTATTCCGCACGTGAAGACTTCTGCATACTGCTTCTTCAAGTCTGCGACGACCTCCGCTGAAAACTCTTCTTTTCTAGTCATTTTCCGGCTCCACATAAATAGTATATCATAACGGTATCCACAACAACTCGCAATCAGGATCGGGATTAGAAGAAGCATCCACCGATCAAAGACGAAGAGGAAGCCTCCACCGATCAAGGACGAAGAAGAAACTTCATCAATGAATGTTGAAAAAGATTTCTATACCGATAAAAGACGACGAGGAAGCCTCAAGAAGAAAAAAAGAAGCCGTCGCCACCCCAGAGAGGTCAGTCACGCCTAAATATGCAGAGAAGGTGTGGTCATGATTCTCAACTGAAGTTCCTTAGTGTCATGGTCGATCAAATGCGTTTCCAACAGGAAGAAATGAAGATGCAGCATGACGAAACGGAGTGAATGTTTGCCACCCTTCCAGCCGGTGCCGTCCAGGACGCCAGCAAAGAGCAACACGATCAGGTGAGCAGAGACGTGCAGAAGTTTGTCTCAGACGAAGAGCAGCTAATACATTTACTATTCTACAGTTACGGACCGGTCATACGCGATGCTTTGTTACCGGACAACAAGAAGTGCGATCTTATCCTTATGGAGCCGGATGGAGAAGCGTATCGGAAGTATGCAGATGAGGTCCTGCCTATGTAACCACATGAACTGAATTTTGATACAACGGTCATGAGTCTCCAGAAGCTGTTCGACTCTAGGAAGACATTGATAAGAAGAAGGTACGAGTGCCTTATGGTCGCATGTACGCCGCTGACACCAACGGACATGCCGTTTCGGGAGTAGAACAACAAAACCAAATGAGTGGACAAGGACGCGCGACTCGAGGAGCTCGACCACACGGCGATGAAGACGTTGCAATTTATAGCGGGTCTCCAGGATCCCAAGCTGTGGGAGGTTCGATT